GCTTCCACTCGATCGCTATTTTTTAACCTTTGGACTCTTTATGGTGACTAGCATCTAATTTCTCCCTACAAATTTACCCCTGACTCAAATATTAAGGTCATGAGAATAAAGGAAATGATCACCAACCGAAGAGCCTCTTGATAGTTAAATAAGTTCTCCTTTTCAACTCCTTAAGAATTGTGTAGAGAACAGTAAGGAGAATATACACACTGATGTCAGGGTGTGGAGGGTTGACAAGAGATTTACAGACCCGAAGAAAATGCAAGCTCACAGGATGGAAAACTTCAGTGCTACGCCTCTGACGGCCCATGTTTTTATTTTTTGCTAAACTCCCAACGTTCAAACAGGGCATGTGATGAAATCTTAACACGAGATATTATCCATGTTCTGTGACGAGAATCATGATTGACAATCAGGAGCAAAAATACAGACACGGCAGTGTTTCTGTATCAGTCCAACCGCTTGGTCTTCATAACTCGTAAGGATCAGCTGAAATTTAAATAAGAAAATAAAAATAAACGAGAGCGATAACATTTACGTTTGTTCTCTCAGTTTGTCTTAGTTTTGTTTTGTTTTGTTTTTTTTCTGTTTAGCTCTGATGGTTGGTTTGTTTGTTTCCGGTATTCGTTCTTTACTTTTTCCTCAGTTCCTTATGTTTTGTTTACATGCTGAGAAGGTTAGAGCGAAGCGAAGTAAGAGTCCTTGCCACTTTTTTTTTTTTTGAGGATCTCCATGAATTGATGGCTTTGATGGCTAACGGTTAAAATTTTGGCCATTTACAGCTAACGGTAATTTCTTTCCATTGCTTTTAAAAGGAAAAGTTTTACGGTGAACATTTTTTACGACTAACGGTAAAAGTTTGTCAATTTTCACGCCTAACGGCTAATTTTTTTGCCGTTTTACGGCTGACGTTTAACCCCATTGAGGAGACCTTTTCTTTTTTTTTTCCTCTTAAACAATTTCCTGTCCAAGTCGCTGACGTCCAAATAAGGTCGTGGTGTAAAGATGGTGGAATGTGCAAGGCATTGCTCAATCCATCTTAGTTATACACCACTGTGACGTTAAAAATCCACTGCTTTCTAACGACTTTGAGGTGAATATTTATGAGTCCATGTTCAAATACTGAAAGTCGTCCTTTTTCTTCTTTTTCTTCTTCGTCTTAACGAAGTTCACTCTCGCTTGGAGAGGAGTATTACTTGCACATTGCCTCCAAGCTATCATATCAGCGGAAAACACGATTACTACTAAGCAAGTCACTTGGTCGAACAGAAATTTTCGTTAAGTTATGTATTTTTACCATTTCTAAGTGAACATCTGTACACCTCCACTCTGAGACAGGGTTTACCGTACCACTGGACTGGATTGATTCGTAAAAATCGAGCTGTCACAGAGGGTTCTATTGTATTGGGCTTGACTAGTATTGGATGAGAACGCCCTCTGAACACCTGAAATGAGGTCAAATGCAAGATTAGAAAGGAGCGTACGATCTAGCCTAAAATTGGGTATTTTTGTCTCGGCGTAATAAAATCCAGAGCATTTTTTTGCATGTCTCAAGGGAACAACGCCTTGCCCCAGCCAGGACTAGAACCCGGGTCGTACGACTCGGAGCCTAGTGCACTGACAACTGGACTACTGGACAAAGCCGTGGCGTTGACGTGCCCGCGGTACAGTTGACCACGCATGTTAAAAGTAGCACCTTGTACGGTCGCACGGTCGTACATCCAAATTTTTTGGGCTTGATGGGTTACTACTATTTTGTATAATTATGGGGCTACGCGAGCTCCGCTATTAAACTTGCGAACATCAAAATAGTGGCGCGGCTCAGCTCTGATTTGTAGTAAGCGAGAACAATCATGGTTGCGTTTTCTCGCCTTTTATATCAGTCTTTCTGGTTTATATAATTACTTGGAGTTTTAGTCGCGCAATGATGATATCAACCTTGACCCTGATTGGCTGTTGTGATTACTTTGGTTTCGGTTTTTTGAAACTCAACCGAAGACTTTTCTATTCGAGTGTCAAAAATAATCCGGCATTCTTACAGTTTCACCTCAATTTCATACTGTAATTAGTTAATTAAACATGCATAATCTTTCTATACCAAGCCATGCTACGTCAAAATCCTGAATCGTGACTCGGCACAGAAAGACGGCTATCTGTTTATCTGTATCTTCTTTAAGTTCTCAGATCAATGGCTGGTTGCAACTTTTACCTTAACATTGATAACCCGTTGTCTTTACTTTTGATTTGGTTTTACGATATTCAATCTAAGAATGCTCTATTCCCACAAAGGTCTTTGAAACGAGGTGTTTAATACACAGGTAGGGATCGCAGAATCGTTCAGATCACATCATTCCAACTACCTTAGTTCCTAGTCCATTCTCGGTGTAGTTAAACCACGTGATACCATCCAGGCTGAAACTCAGAGTAAACGTGCGCACGAACCAATACTTAGCCTCATGACCCTGAGTGGCCAAGCCTCTTATTTCGTCCACGTAACCTAAGTCTATTTGAAAATATGGGTCGTCGTCATCGCTGAAAGATGAGGAAGTATGCATGTTGTTGATACTCACCAAACGAGAAACAAAAGCCTGCGGTGAACACAAAGAGATACCTACATGCAAAATTTTCCCCTTCAGGAAAGCAGCCAGAAAATAGAGGAATTTAAACAGCCTATTAAAATATTGGATCAATATCAGTATCTGGGCAACTACCCACCTACCCCTCCCCTAACCCAGCATTAACCCTAACTTGTTATCAATTGACCGTTGTTGAGTTAGGGGAGGGGTAGGTGGGCAATTGCCCAGATACCGATATTGATCCATATTTGTATGCGTTGTATGTATGGATTCACAGACGAAATTAAAATCTGCTTTGGCATCTCAGGGACAGTTGCAAGATCAACAAAAGTTAAATTTAAAAATGTACTTCGTTGAACGTTCAACTCGATATTTCATAAAAAATAGTGTAAAAAAACGAGTCAGATATCGCTAAGAACACGATATGAGAAATTATACATCTACAAACAACCAATTTATCATTTTGTTCATCTTATGAAGACAACCGGTCTCAATCAGAAAAAATTTCGATTAAAGGCCTTGGATTGATAATGGTAAACGGTAATTCATTCATTCATCAACCTGAAAAAGTGTCACGAACGGCGACTGACGTGGAATGGTAGCTGATTGTCCATAACAAACACTCACACAAATTATAATAAATTTACGCGAGTGCCTTTATGGTTTTTCTCAGTGTTGGAAATCCTTGTAAAATATAGAAGTTTGTCAGTATTTAGTATTAGAACTTCTGAGAAATGTCCCTGCCCTTCGAAAGAGAAAGAACTTTAATCATACTCTTTTGGACACCAAGCACTTGTTCTGTTTCGAAGCCTTCCATATGATGCCGTATAACTGTCGCCCAGTACAGAGCTGCTGATGAGTCTAGAGTCGCTCAATAAACCGGTCTGTAAGCCATAACTGCAGTCTAAAAGTTTAAGAAAAAGCTACGACATGAGTTTTTAACTAAATGCTTGTAACCATGTACAACGCCGAACTTTCCACACCGATCGAAGGGTGGAGAAAAAGTTCGTCAATAAAGGAAGAAAGTTGGCAACTAGAGCAATCATTTGCCGCGACAAGGGGCTAAAGCTCCAAAGGTCAGCTTAAGAAATACTTTCAGGTGGCCAATTCAGATTATCCACTCTGTAAACAAAACCAAATTACCTTGTAATCAAAGTGAGGACCGACTAATTATAATTTTTGATAGCGCTAATTTCCGCACTGCACAAAAAGAAAAAAAAAAATTTCCAGAATTGGTGTATAACAATTTCACTGAGAAAAGAACCGAAAATTTACTTAATTTACTTTAATTTAAGGTGATACAATAAAGCAAACAAACAAAATGTTTTACCAGGATCTGGAAATGAGTAAACTCGTTTGAAGGCGTCAGATCCTTCGGCACATTTCCTGCCTAATGCCGCCACCTCTCCTTTCGCCGGTGCATTACCGCTGACAGACTGCAGGCACAATCCTCCAGAGCTGTACTTGATTGCTTTCCCATAAGCCATTCCACTGGTCTTTTTAAATCTATTCCAAACAAAGCTTAAATTATTATGATTCATTTCTGCTTGGCGAGAACTGCTGTTTACACTTGCCAGTTCTTTAAGGGAATCAAAGGTAATAGCATATTACTGGAGTGACTTCTATGCAGAGAATAAAGCGCCAAAAAATAAGAAATCATTCATCCTTTCTCTTTGGTTGGGTATTAAATCTTTTAAGCTGTTGCAGGATGAAGTATGAAAATTGCGAGAAGTACTTACACGGGGGCGAAGTAACCTCATAGAGAACACAATCAAGAGATCTTGACCAAGTGCGGTAACAAATCTCACTGAACACGCTTCGGAGAAAAATAATCGACACTGTTGGTTTTTTACAGTTCACCTTAAAAAGCTGCTTATATCGAGGAGTATGATCAAATCTGATAGGTTTTTCTTTTAAGCTAAAAATAATAATGCGTCAGTATCATTATTATTTGACCCTTATGATTTGACTAACATCTAACTTCTCCGTACAATATCACCCCTGAATCACACAATAAGGTCGGGAGAATTAAGGAAATGATCACCAATCAAAGAAACTTGGATATCTGATCAAATTCTCCTTGTCAGCATCTAAGGAAATGTATAGAGAACAGTATGGAGAATATGCATATTGATGATAGGGTGGAGAGGGTTAAGAAAAGAGTGCAGTGATCACCTGTGTATCTGACTATCGCAAGCACTAAACGACAACCCGACAGGGGTCCCCTGAGTTGGTTTGCTGTCATTATTCAATGGTTTGACGCACATCTCAGAGCATGCGTGCTGAAGGGAACCATCCTTGAGTAGAAGAAACCATGTCGAGTCACTTGTACAGTCTCTGTCGAAAATTAGGATTTCTGATTCATTGACTGCACACGAGTGGGATCTGGGACCGATACACAATCCATTCGGGCTTCTAAGGGGACTGTGTCTTGGGACATCTGAGGAAACACAAGGTTAAAATAAACAATTTTTGGCTATGTACTATCAAACGACATAACTATACATCATTCCAGCCAGGCAGCTGAAAGTCCATCCAACCCTCCCTCCCTCTCTACGACCATCCATCATCTTTTCTATTTGTCTGTCTATTAGTCCGTCTGTCTGTCTGTTCGTCTGCCTGTCTGCCTTTCTGTCTAGCTGCCTGTCTACCTCTCTGTCCGTCTGTCTTTCTGCCTGCCTTTTTGTCTGTCTGTCTGCCTGTCTGTATGTCTGGCTGTCTGTCTGCCTGGATGTATGTTTGTCTGGCAGCCTGCCTGCCTGCCTGCCTGCCTGCCTGCATGTCTGTTGGTCTGTAATTTTATCCTTCCGTCTACTAACAGTTTAATCATGGGCTCAAGATTTCCGTTACGTAATAGATGACGAGGGCGAGGCCCGAATCAACTATCATGCTTACTGAGAAATCAAAAGCCAATCATTCAATTGTCTTTGAAAAAATCTACTAGTCCTTCAAAACTTATCAACGAGACAGGCTCATGTAAACTGCATACTTTTAGGCTCCTCACCCTATTCACAGCCTATCACAGAATGGATGGCGAATACCCGAGCCAATCAGATTGCGTCTTTTGTGATACAACGGTCGTAACTTTATACAAATAATGATTCAGTGAAAATCTCGTACCACTTATGATAATGGACAGTGGAAGTTACAAAGCTGAGCATCGAGCTAAATGAATACTTATCAGGTTGTTATTGTTATTGTTGCTTTTTTCAATAACGTGATGATTTTCGAATTTTTTTAGCCCTGTAGTAAAGTTATAGAACGAGCGCGATCTATATATCATCAGCTAAGAGCAGGTCTGATTTAGGCAGAAAAAGTCCAATAAGACAATGAACAACAGACCTTACCATCACATGGAGGCCATGGCCTGCACACAAGAGTTTCACGCGATGGTCCCAGCTCTGAGCAGTCTTTCCCACCATTTGCAGGCCGTGGGTTGTTGCAGTACCTCGCTCTGACTTTGTAACCGGTTGAACAACTTTTGCTACAAGCGCCCCATGCTGACCAAGTGCCGTAACCACCGTTCACTTAAATAACGATATAATATAAGAAAATAAAGAACTTTTATAACTCATAATTCTTTTACTTCAGTACGGTATATGGGTACCACTAATTATTTCTTCCAGGCGATAACACTTATACATGGGTGCAGTTTGAAGTAGTTCTTTTAGAAGAGAGTAAGAAAACACTTGACTGATAGACAATAATTTAGCTTCCTTTACCTGGTAGCGGTGTCTCAATTGGGCAAATGTCATCTGGTTCCTTGTAATCTTAAGAGATATCAGATTAAAATTTAGTTCTGCATTGACGAAAACGCACCAACACACGTTTCCTAATAAATCACGAATCTCCGCAATCACATCCACAGGACAACCATATGAACATATATGAAGACCTTTTCCTCTAACGAAACAAAGATCATAATCACGAGTTTCCAGTTCCTTATTCACGTGTTTCCAGTTTCTCAGTGTAACGCAACAACAACAAGATGATTCTCTACAGTTTCCGATATTCATAAACGAAAGAAATAACCTGTGTTCCTCTTTGATATACAATTATCCTAGTATGATATTAATATCAATACTTAAACAGAGTTTCCGTTTCCTTATTCACGTGTTTCTGGTCACCTAGTGTAACGCAACAACGACAAAATGGTGGTCTACGGTTTCCGCATGCATAAACGTAAGAAATAACCCGTGTTCGCATCTGGTATACAACAATCCTAGTATAATATTGATATTAATTAATACTTAAACACTAAACCTGCCTTGTCTTAGCTCCTTCAGCCAGTACCACTTTCTTCTGGGAAAGGCCATTTTGCCATAAATCCAGGGAGAAGAAAGAAAAGGCCACTTTTGTTGTGCTACAAAAGTCCCCCAGGGTATATGAACAACAAACGAGTCACTTGTAGTAAGCAACGCCAATTTATTTCGCTTGGGCAGCCAAGGCATTCGGTTACTTATTGCAAATTCTCCACTAGACCATTCATTAAATCGTTTCACCATCATGACGTCTGTTTGATTGGGGAAGTTTCCAGTGAAGGTGTAGTGATTCGGAGCTTGCCAAACTCCACCCCAGCTTCCAGGCTGATTTGCATCGATACGATACAGAAACGGGCTATTATTGGTCGAATCATGCTTGATGACGTCAGCCTTTCCTAATATGGAAAAGTCAGCCCATCTGAGTCTACTGGCCTTTGCATATGCATTTCGTTGGAGGACTGTTCTTTTATTCCATCCCTTGTTGGTAAGCGCTTGTATCTATGTGTTGTAAAGTGTTAGATAAAAAAGTAACATCCCTGTTGCTTATTTTGATCTTCCATTCTATTTTTGGTGGATATAGCAAATGTAAAAGAAGTTGCAAATCTGAAAAAAAATCGACAGCTCGTTCGATTAAGGTAACTTCGTGACGTGTTACCTTCAGGTAAAACAGACCACCAGGATATAGTATGCAGGCACGTCCTTATTAATATTCCTGTAGGATGCGGGTTTCCTCACCCGCAGAAAATTAACAATGAGTTAGAGAGAGATTTGCTGCGGATCTGGCTCTAATTATATGCAAGACGCCTTGCACACCTCTCATTTGCTTGCGATGCTCAAGGTCTGATATTTTCCGCGGGGAAAGAAACTCTCATGCTGAAGCACTAGTGATGAGGGTCTGCTCTCAGGTGAATCAAAGAATCCCCGACACTAGTCCTGATCTGTGCATTGATCAAATTATTAAAATTAATAAAAGTTGGAAAGTATAAATTTACCAATAAAGTCCAACCCCCGCCAAACCTTCTGGATTGATCACAAATTGTTGTGACCGGCTCCTTGCAGGGTCCATCCAAATACAGCCGGTAGACTCCATCACGTTCAAAACCATCCTCAAAATACTGCTTACAGCTAACTGTGACCCAAAATCACAACAAATAGTGAGAAAAATGAAAAAAAAACTGAGACTTCCTTCAGAGATATTGATATTAAAAAACCCAATTGATTTTAAAGAGACTTAAAAGTCTCTTTCGAGAGCTGTTTGACAGCAATCACTTTCTTAGAAAGCTTCTGTCATAGTCCAGCACAGGTTAAACGCCACCAATTTTTTGTTTAAGGTTCGCCGATACTCATTTATACTCCTAGGTTGAGAGGGGAACTGTATGAGCCAAGAATGTTGCCCCAACAGCACACCACAGTGTTTCAAACCGGGCCTCTCTTTGCAGATTCCAACCCACTTACGTGGAAGGCACTGTATCGTTTTTGTTGGCCTCTTATGAGTGAAGCATTTCAATAAAAAGTTACAGGAAGCGAAAAAGGCTCAAAAAATAAAAGATGAAAAAGTAAAAGAAGAGAAGGATTGGCTACTTCCCTCGCCTGCAATGCAGGTGTCTTATTTGGGAGAGTTAATGCTAAGAAGCTCGCGATCATTTATTGAACTGGCCATGTTTGATTTAGACTTAGAGTCTGCGGCGGGGGAAGGGGGCGGGGGAAGGCGAAAAGAACGATTCTCACTGCTCCAGAGCCCTCGTCCCTCCTTCTTTTAGACCGTTGTTCACCCCAACCTTCCGCTGCAATCAAAATCAGTGATGGCAGCTGTAATTTTCACCAACATAATACTAGACACTCGCCTGCCAAAATTACGCCTGCTCCGCAGGCAAATACTTCCCTGAAAGGAACTCGCGAAATCTGGCCATTCGTACCCCCGTTTGTTCGCAGGTACAGAAATCTAAGAATACTTACCATAGCACTTGGTTTTATTGCAAGTTGACATCTCAATGGTTTGTCCTCGGCAGTCGCCATCACGAATACATAAACGAACGCGATACCGCATTCCCTCTCGTCCGCAGTATTGACTGCACGCTGACCAACGAGACCACGGGCCAAAATCTTGTTCATTACCTTCTGCAGGAAAGGGAAAACCTAGTGGGTTTCCTAGCTGTCATAAGCCTCCTCATGAAAACGATTCCCTGTCTGCAGTGAATTATATGTATGGTGGTATTATTTTAGTCCTCTTTTTATTTATTTATTTTTTTTAAATCATGCATTAATATCCTAAGTAACGAAGAACGAATTCATTTTTTTCAAAAGAGAAACGCGGAAACGAAATGTAATTCGGAATTTATTGGCCTAAATTCTATAAGATTTTTTTTTATTTAACTTCTTTTCCTTCAGCTGACACAATCACAACATGTGCAGCGTGTCATTTATGTATGACGCCAGAAACTAAATCAAGCTAAGTTCAGTTTGGTGGCTATAACACAACGGTCAAATGTCGGGCATATACGAGAGAATCAAGTTCTCTAGCCGCTGTGTCGCAAAACAAGTGAAAAAAAAAATTAAACGTTAATAGAGGTCTAAGAAAGAAAGCGAAGGTAGGAAGAAGCTAAGCTGGAGACCATGACTAACTGAATTTTGTGTTTGTTTGTTACTAGCGTGAGACAACCTACTTCTGAAAGCCTGAAAGCACGCCACCCAGTCATTAAAACCTTTGACCGCTGTGTTGGTGGCTATAGCTTTTAAGTTCCTCCAGTTCTTCCTCGTTTTTACAGATAAGCGAAGAAGAAAAACCTCTGGGCGACACATTGCAAACAACTGAATGCATAAACATCTTGCCCGTCACCATGAAATATCATAATTCTGAACAAACTTGCTCGTTCACCATGGAAAAATTCGTATGGTAAACCTCAATTGTTAACATTCAAAGCAGGTTTTGCTATTAGAAATTTTTGGGTCATAGCTTCCTTACAAATGCTAACAAACAATGTGTACTTGACCCGAAAAATAATCATAATTAACCTATTATCTTTTTAAAAGACGAAATTATTTCCTGATTAAGCCAGAGTGTTTAGAAATAATCAAACAAGCAAACAAATATTTTCACTTACCCGTTGTCGCTAAAATTGTGAGGATCCCGGACAATAAAACAGGTAACAAAACCTGTGACATATCTTTCGTCTTACGACAAGCTATCTCGAGTGTTTAGATGAAACTACGTGTTTGTCATTGAAAGAAAGCTAAGTGAGCGTTAATTACAAGATGCCAAGGCAGCTTTTGCTAGAATTTGCGAGTAAGAAGCGATTGTCTGTAAAATAGTCCAATAGTTCCTAGTACATGTTTTTTTTTTCACTGAATTCACCCCTTTATGACATCATTTCAGTAGTGACTTGTTTTTGCAATTCAGTAGCAAAGTCAATGACTTTGACGTGACAATGACATGAACTCGACACTTCTTGTATCGTGTCACTGGCTGCTATATTTTGCTGGTGAAAAAAGAAAAAACGTTTTCAAAATTTCTTTCCTAATTGTGTACTGAAGACTAGCAGTGCAGCGGTCAAAACGTCGCGGTAATAAAATTAATAGCCTTACCCTACATCGTGAGACTGACGATTAAGCATTTATTTTTCTACAAAATCACGATAGAAAAAGAGACATTTTCTACGACATGATTTTAGTTTATTCTGTATTACTGTATGGCAAGGTATTCCTGAGGTAAATCTCAGTGTTCTAATCGGTTCTTACTCGGTTGGGATTTTGCCATATGGACCGTTTCCACGGAAAGGGTCATAAACCGTGTATTTTCTTCACAAAAGCTGCCAAATTTAAATATAAACAAGTTTGATCCAAGTGCCACATAATAAACTACTTACTAGCCTTGTTTGCTCGAGCCGTATAAAGGAATGTTGGCCCTTGATCGTTTTTGTACGGACTTAGCTCGTTCCGCACTGCCACGATATCGGACCTCGGGTGAACAACAATTGTAGTTGTTTTATCCCAGGGTATTGAGAAAACGACTTCTTAGTACTTTTACCGTTTTGTATCACACGTTACGCAGACGTTTCCTCTGTACTACCTTTAAACCCGATAAGCTCCCAAGTTGTAAAAATTTACACAACTAGCATAACTTTTCTAACGACGCGCACGAAATCTGATACATGTACGCCTTGGCACGTCGACTACTTGCACAGCAGTAAAGCATTAAAGTATTTTGTTGTCTACAGCAATTACTGGTAAATTTTTAACACTCTCGTCATTATAAACGTCGTCATTATCCACTTCACTTTCATTATGATCATCAGCAGCATTGCCATTACCATCACCATCTCTAACAGTTGCTCGTTTCTTCCTTCAAAGACACCTTTGGTGCAGTCTGTTTCAATAAGTCAGCCCGTTGCTAAGGTGAAAATACTTGGAGTCTGAAAGCAGGGTTACTTGGCGTCAAAGTGGCCACTTTCTTCATCGCTGAGAAGAGTGTCTTGCAGGTTTGCTTCAATTGTCCCGCTCTTGACTCTACAGCTCTGAATGTTTCTATAGTTAAACATCATTGCTATATTTACATGGAGAATTGAAATGTTTAAAGTAAGCAAAGAAATATTAACCGCATAACATCTCCGCGAGTCACATTCCAGTCGTTTGCGCAAAAAGTCCGGTAAAACTGCAGAATGCAGGGCCACTTATTTACATATTTTGTTGAATCACAACACATGCTTTTGAATTCTGCTCCGTTCTTCACAGTATGCCGATAAGGTGAACTTCGTCATTGTGTAATATCATTGCTCTCATAGCCGCACTATCTGATGAATAGTCCATCTTTTTTAACACAACTGGTTGTAAGTATTGTGCACTACTTTTTGTATGGTCAGTTAATCCATAGGTTCAATGAATAATTCTTAGTCGTGCCATTATTCAAAGGATTGGCATCATTCCCAAAATCGAACTTATGTTCCATATTATGAAAAGATGCGCCACCATTTTTTTCTGTTATTCCAATGCCGTGATCAGATCCTCCACAAGTTCCTCCTCCTCCACCAACCATCATGACGGATCCACCGCTTTCCCAATCACACCAAAAGCCAATTTTGTCGGAACTCTGCAAGGGGCCGTCACATTTTGCTTGTTTGAATCCGTAGGTTGTCTCGTTAGGCCATCCATAGTTAACCTCACAGTCGTCTTGACAACGCCTACGGGCCCAGACTGCTCCATACCTGAAAAAACCATATTTCAGCATTTTATGTCTGAATGACTTTCCTTCAAGACAGTCGCCCGTGGTTTGTAACAGCGGCGTGTGTAGTGGGTCATCACTACGCGTGATCTTAAATTTTCTGCCGCTGATCAGCCAAAATGCTGGCGATATCATGTCAGCGTTATCAGATGGATCGATGCTGTTGCCTTGAGCTTCTGTGACGTCATACCACCAAGAGCCAGAAAACTTGACCCAGTTTTTCGCATCGCTGTTTGAGAAACGAGCAATAAGAATCCAACCTGTGCCGTCGGAGGTCTTGTCATAATAAATCTTTAAAAAACAAAACAAAAGAAAACAGCAACAACAACATTTGAGAATCAGGTATAAAATACTCCACTAACAGAAGGGGTGTTTGATTGATTGGTGCGACGGGGTCCCGTCTCTCAAAATCCACGGGCGTAATCTTTGGAATGGTAGAACGGGTTTCAGCGAAAAAGCCATTACGCTTTACTTCATTTCCTGATTAAAAATGTTTGTTAAAAATTTCTCGTCATCCTCATCGGTTGAGAGAGAAATGCAATTGTCTGGTAAGACAATGAGAGGGAGATAATTCAGTCCAGAGGTAATATAGTACAAAAAGGTAACAGGGCTTTGTAATTTGATTTTTTTTCCGCATATATAAAATTTTTGTTTTGATTAGGCGCGGAATTTTCAGTAACAGTTTTGCGCTTTGGTGTTACTCTGACCTAAAAGTGTGGTAGAATTGGCGCAATAGTTGCAAGAAAGAGGCGCCAAGTGGCTAAAACACCATTTTCGGTGATTATAAATAAGAAAGAAGAATCGAAATTTGGAACAACATTTTAACATTTTAGGTGAAAAAAGCACAAATTTAGAAACTCAGTTTTATTAATTTAGCTTCAAAGAGTTTTACAAAGTATACGAAACAAAAAAATAAATAAACAAGGTAAAACTGAGAAGAAAGGATCTAGAAACAGTGAAAAAAGAAGAATGGACTTCTTGTTTGTGTTCAACTTACGTCAAATCTTGAATAATTTATTTGCACTGTAAATCTTCCATCGTGCATCGTCGAGTTATTACTGTTTACCACCCCACTCCGCTCGGTCAGAATCGAAATGTTACTGTGTACTTCCTCTGATGTTATTTCCGCTGAAAAAATAAATGGATAATTTATTTTCATGTTTTTCCTTCATTTTTTATTTAAAGATCTATCAATGTGTGGTTTATGAAAGTAGATCGATAAACATGTCTATACTTGAATAAATAAATGAATTTCGATTTACTCGGAGAAAACACAATCCGAGTTCTCTCGATAGCAGCCGAACCTACGACCTTCCCATTCGCGGTACCTAGGGTGCTCTACCTTTGAGTTATATAAAACCCAAGGCAAACCAGGCCGTTTAACTACGTCTACGGTAACAAACTTCATGCATGCTGCCAGGATAGGAATCTTGATTTGTAATGCTTCTGGATAATGATGATATAATTGAAGATGGGAATTTTTAAGCCTAGTGATGCATTTTCATTACTATAATCATCTAGAGACATATGTTTTTCGTCTTGTCACGAGTGTGGACCAAGGAAATATTTTAAGTCTTCATGAGGCGTCGAACCTCAGACCTTCAGATTCCGCGCCTCAATGCCATACCACTGAGCTACAGAGACTGTGGTAAGCAAGGCCAGAACAAGGTTCGTATCTAACACGCGTCCTGCATACTGCTATCTAGGATCAGAAACGATAGCGTCATGTTTATAAATAGAATTAGAAAGAAAGTAAATTTTGAGCTCGGTAAAGAATAGAGAAAGACGTTTTTGTACACGAAGACGTTTTGTGCATTTTTTTTCTTCTTCCCACGCTCATAAAAGGACGAAAAATATCTTTCTCCATTTCTTCACCGAGCTCAAATTTACCAATTTTCTTATTTCATAGTTTATAATCAAATTAAATTTCTCCTCAACATCAAGAATAAAAGATGTTTAATGGAAAAGGTACTGGGAAAGCTCTTTAATTTTTGAGTCCATCTCCCACCTTGTTGACAAAAACTTCCTGTTAGTCCGGCGGGACAATCACAAACAAAGGACATGAATCTCGCAGTCCTGCAAGAGGCTCCGCTATAACATCTGGAGTAAGAACAAGGGTCGAACACTGATACAGGAAAAACATGAAAAACATGTCATTACATTTAGCCCTTCACTACTCTTATGTGATTCCCACGTTCAGTCATCCTACCTTCTTGACACTGGGACCCAGAATAGCCGCTAATACATTCACATCTGAACGAGTGGTAAAGATCTACACATGTCCCTCCATTTTTGCAACGATTTGGCTCACACTTATCTCGTTCTGAGAGGTAAAAAAAATACAAATTTACAAGAAAATCCTGACCATCGAATTTTCCTATATGAAAAATGTTACATGCGGCCTTAAACGTCATGGGAAGGCCGTAAAAGTAAGTAAATGTATGTGTTATTTACCTGGCGAGAGGTCCGTAAGGTAACAAACTGTGTTCGAGGTCTGGAGTACAACCCAAGGGCAAAGGCACATTTTTTTTCCATAAGAACTGTTACTAATAATAACGATGATGATATTGCTTGCGCTAGTGTGGAAGAGGGCGAGGCTGAGAACGAGGGTGAGGGCGAGGGCGGGGGCGAGGCAGAAAAAGTGTTATAAATGATGTTAATGGTTAGAAAAGAACTTAAACATGGTGAAATCTAGCCTTACCATTCGCATTCCATGACGCAATGAGAGTCTGATTTAAATGTAATCCTGCTGAACTAACTGAAAGAGTAATCACGGTGAGAACAATCAATGTAATCTTCCGCTGATTGTCAACTCAAACCTCTGTGCATAATATGTAATTTGTGATGATGCTAATTAGCATTAATTGCTATATTTCCAGCACGTATCAGAGGACTGGTGACCATTCGGGGGATTTTGGTGGGATCAGCACAATCGTCGTCAACAACT